CCTAGTTGGGAGCAAACTCTTTAAATCTTTATTCCAAACTAGAATAACAAACCACAATATTCCAGTGCAAACATGGATTGAAACGACTTTCCTCAGCCACAAACATCCATTAAAGCCTCAATTGTCTTTAAAGAAGTCACTCAAGAATCCAGAAGTCTCACAAAGAACTTGTCTGTTATGGAGGATGCTGCTAAAATGTTTTGATGGATACTTAAGAGCTTACAAGGTCCACAGTTTTGTGTTGTAAAACTCCTGAGAATAATATTCAAGGTCTTTAGAAGTTGATGTGACATGATTGGAGACTTTGTTAGAGAAAACAGTTGATTTCAAGAAGACCAAAATTATGATCCAAGTTGGGTAAACATGGACTACACACAATTTGTTATTCCACTTCATACACCCAAAGTTTGAACGCTGAAAGGATCCAAGATGACTAAAAGTGGAATTAGGATCCCCAAGTGACTGTCCTATCACTACAGGTATTGATGTTTTTGTCTCCAGAGACAGACTTTCAGATTGTGTTTGAACGAGCTAAACTGAGGAGCAACAATTGGGATAGACTAGAATTTGACACCATCAAACACTTTGAAATCTGTGGACCAACAAGCTCTTTTCAGAACACATACATAAGCAATTTTATGCAAATGTAAGCTTTCTCCACCCAAGAAAACGTGTTCAGAAGCTGAAAATATGTCCTGAACTCCTATCTGACACCCTGTCAAAAATAGACTGAGCCCAAGGGTGCTCTCTAGTGCATTGTCCTGTTCACTTCTGTCCTCCTTCCTTTCCTCTACACATCACTGCACCCTTCACTACTTTCTTCTCTTTCTTTTTCTTGAACTTAGCTGATGGATTTCAGGATATTTGCAGAAATGAATGGAGACAAAGACAGCAGGAATGAAATAAGAGAAAAAAGGAAAGTAGGAAGCATAAAAATACTAATGAAAAGACAAAAAAATGAATATGGAGTAGCATCGGTATAAATGATGGGAAGAGACAGAAAGAACGTTAAACTAAAACACAAAATTAGTTCAATATAAACAACAGACACAGAGGAAAAAAAAAAAAGAAGCGCAGAAGTGTAAGATAAGATCCCAGTCAAGGATTTAAAGAGAGAATGGTGAGATGAGACGACGAAAACATGCTAACAGAATCTCTCTGTCTCCAAAGACCATCCCATCAACCCCAGTGTCCACCCACAGACCCTGACGACAAACCCTGCACACTGATTGGCTGCTGGATGTCGCTGAGGGAAGGTGGGGTGGAGGTTATGAATATGTATGAACTTTAACTGGTTGATATACTGCTAGAAGACGGAAAGGAGATGATGGGGGAAGGAGGGAGGAAGAAATAAATGGAAGAGGGCAGGAAGACATTTTGGAGAAGGGGGGAGGGAGGAAAAAAGATGACGAGTGGAAGGGGGAGGTGAAGGAGGAGAGGTAAAGAGCAAATGATGGACGTCAAGGGATGAGGAGGGATGAAGTGAGAAGAGATGAAGGGAAGGGAGGGGACGAGTGGTATCAGGAGGATTCAGAGGACACTAATGAGACAAATTAATCATACCACACACACACACACACACACACACACACACACACACACACACACACA